GTCGAGGCTGATGAGCCATCTCTTACACAACGCCGTATAAAATTAACTTTACAGTATATAACAAAACTTTATTCCAATGAGTCAAACCCTGCATATAACTGTGTCTTTAATCCACTATATGAAGATCTGTATAACAAGAAGCCTTCTCTTGTTCCGCCTCTTGGTATAAGAGTGAAACCTTTCCTTTCTGCTGCTGGCATTGAGCTAGAACATATAGCTCCTTCCCGTTTTCTTTCTTCTCCTCCTTGGCAATTGGTACGGCCACAAGTTGATCTAACATTAACTACATTTAAAAAATCAGAAACAAACGAATTACAGTATAAACAAGAATTAGTCAATTAAGAAATAAATATAATACATACAAATCCTTATTTACAGATGGGTCCAAGGATGGTGGCGCAGTGGCATGTGCACCACTGTCATTGGATCCCGAACAATATCTTCTAGAATACCGGATAACACCTCTATATTTACAGCAGAAGCAAACGCCATCTTAACAGCTCTTAAATATATTAATAAACACCGTAAATATAAACAATATATCATCTTTTCAGATTCTCTTTCGTGTCTTCAGGCTATTAAAAATCTTTCTTGCAAACATCCACTTTTATTAGAAATTATTGAATTGTACAATGAACTTGCTACTGGCCAATGCGACATCGTCTTTTGTTGGTTACCCAGCCACGTTGGCATTTCTGGGAACACAATGGCTGATATTGCTGCTAAGGCAGCACTCAACAAATCTGTGACACCACTTCTGATCCCATACTCTGATTACAAAGCTGCTATAAGATCTTATATCCGTGATCTGATGCAAAAGAAGTGGGACACCCAAGTAGGTATCAATAAATTATATGCAATAAACCCCTATATCGGTTACACTTACTTGGGTTGTCAGTCCAGATTTGAAGAGGTCATTATGCGACGATGTCGTATTGGCCACACTAGATATACGCATGAGTACCTATTAATAGGTGAGGATCCTCCGTTTTGTATCCCTTGTGATGAACGAATCACGGTCAAGCATGTCTTGCTTGACTGTGTTGAGTACTCCATCACAAAGGATATCTATTTCAAATCCCGAACTATGAAGGATCTTTTTTACTAATGTAAGTCCTCATTTAATTATTGCTTTTTTAAAAGAATTAAATTTGTTAACAGATTTGTAAATAGCTAAATATTTTATGATTGGAAGTTTGAATTAGTAACATAGATTGTTAGTGGCTGTATCCTCGAGGGGGGGTAAAGCACTGTAAAATTATTGTCCTCCTGAGAGGGTACGTAAGTTCCAAAACATTCAAAGTAAATTTCAACTTTCCGTTTTTTAATCGTAGAATATTTGTAATTTTAATGTATGGCTAGATATGTCTTAATTGCTAACGGCTGAGGGGATGATATAAATCCAGCTAGGGCCCATGCAGGAAGCAAATGTACTGTAAGTCCCCATGGTCCCTAGTATGGTGATCTACCTTCAGTTGTTAGCGATCTATAGCCCATTTTTTAGATTGTGTTGTCCCCTATGGTTAAAATGTTTTAGATTCAATTACTAGTTTTACATATATATATCTGTGATATTCTAGTTGCTTTACTGTCCTTCGCTGACAGGTTTTATAATATATACATATTCCATTACAATGTAAAATGTTCTCGTCACGATATGGCTGAAATATTGCCGATGTGACGTTAAATATTAACTCACTCACTCACTCATCAATCGTTAACACAATCGGCAGATATATAACCTACATTTCACATGCTTGTAAATTATCTCGATTATCACTAGTCGTCTAAAGCGCCGCATGCCAGAAAATATTGGTCGCAATTTAGATCCCAAGTTAGCCCACATAGCATTTTTTTGTCCACGGGTTTCACCAACGTTGTAAACTTCTCTACTATGGGCTTTCCTCCAACTTTAAGCCTCAGACAGCACTGTTAACGCACTCACTTTCTGACTTTTATACACAAACAAGGCTAATGCAGTTTTCATTTGGTCTTTCTGTGTTAAATTTCATATCAAAGCATGGGATAGTTGATACATAAAGCTGTAAAATAATATGTAGGCTAAATAGACCAGTTAGAATGTTGATGAATGCAGCTTTAAACAACACGTTTTATTTTTACATTTGTCTAAAACATATGTCGATTTGACCTTCGTTTAATCTGAAATGAGCCCATAAAAGTTGACATTACTAAATAATGTCTATTAGAAACAACTAAGTCGATTCTACGATTCTGACTACAGCATTAGTTTCTGTGTATGAACCACAATGAAATAGTGATGATACTAGATGTGTTATTATATACCATTGGCACGCAAAGCTAGTCAATAGTTCACTTGGAAATATAAACACACACAAAAAAACACGGGAACATATAGTTCAAGTCAGAACAGGGCAATGCATCCGACATTTCTGGCCATGTTTTAACCTTGATCGAACAACTAAGCTTGAGTCGTTGAGCTATGTCGTTCTTTGAAACGTTGGGTAAAAGAACATTCTCGACTGTAACTCAAACGGTGCGAAATGTAAACACCAAGTCATTATGATTCTCGACACAAATGGGAGGTTGACATTGGAGAGTTGAACAGTCTTGCTGAGATGTATTTATTCTGAATCTTTCTGCCCAGGTTTAAATATGAGACAGACACGTTATCTCCCTGGCATTGGCTAGCTGATGGTTATCGAACGATGGTTACCATCGATTTACTGGACATTAAATGGGAACGTCTTTTCCTTATCATCTTGAATTGCCATTGCCAATACGAGCAGAAATTCCGATTCATATCAATATCAGAAAGAGATAAGCAAGAAGGGACCACACTTTGTGCCATTTGGATTCCATAGATGTTGGCAATAATGTTATCCAGCATTTCGCATACAGTTTCCTCAGAAAACTGCAGATAACACATGCTTTCGATTTGGATAAATTGTATTTAGCCCCTGACAATATATTTGTGACTGCATGTAACCACAGCAAGTAGTAACTAAATAACACGGATCAAAACACGAAGGTAAACTGCACAAATAAAAACACCATAACTGTAATAGAGTAAACATTTGACCTTGACTACATCACAACACGGTATTGTACATGCACCCCCGCTCACCTCCAAATATAGCATGACACACAAAACAGCGATAACCGTCCAAGGTAAAGAGTGCCTCGGTAATGATTCACACTTGCCGATCATCTGCCATTGAGTACAATATAGAGATTGTTGTGATACCAACCTGACATGTGTGATGGTATGATGTTTGTGCGATTCTGTGTGCAGATGTTTTCCTCTTTGAGATGTAGATCATGGCTCATATGACTGTTCAAAGTTTGATCCATTGCTGCCTTCAGTCTGGCTTATAGCAAAGTATACGGTGTTTGTTTGTGCATATTATATCTTTAGAATGACAACACTCTTGTTTGGTGGTGGAGTACATTTCCAAATTTGACACTTCAGTGACAGAAAGATAGGTGCGCAAACATCCATGACCTATTCTTACAAGACCTAAGTTACCTGCCGCTAATCCAGTGAGAGTAATGTATTTCTGTGTGGCGTGTGCTTGAAATTCTAAATATATGTTACTGTTGAAGCATCGCTTCATCCTTTGAACATCATATCTCAAGGGGAGGTGATATATCGACCAGCTTTGTTGGGTAGGAGCATTGTGACGCACATATTTACTCACTGTATAGATTGAGTTACACATTTTGAGTTGGGCCGAGACATACACCCAAGCCATTGTGACTCCACCTTGTTTCAGGTATGAGTACATTTAGGATCTGTTCTGGTTGCCATTTTATGGGTGCTAAATATCACAAAAACTATGGCTCGTGACTTAATTCTGCATACATGCTCGTATGTTTCCCCCACTGAGTGTGCATCTGAGTGTGTAGCTTATTTTGTGGTATGAATCCGAATGTTACGTGAAACAAATTTGTTTGAAGCTGATGACTGCTACACTTGTGTCGTTTCGGTCATTTGAACGTGTGTATTTTACTTTCATAAACGACAAACAATCGTTTCTGATATAACCTGTAATATAACAAATTACACAAGGACGTCTCGTTTTGGGTGCCTAATAGTACATGGACATTGTCACTTAAGTCGTTTCGGTCATTTTAACGTGTGTATTTTACTTTCATAAACGACAAAAATTCAAATATAAACGCCGCTTTAATAAAACAAATTACACAAGGACGTCTCGTTTTTTGGTACCTGATAGTAGCAGGACATTGTCGCATACAGATGATAAAGGTAGACTTAAGCAATAAGCTTTATTGAGTGTTGCAAGACATTTACATATCACGATTGCACTTTAATCACAAACGTTCAATTTCAATTTATTTCTCGAAATACCATCAACCGTGGTACATGAGAATACAAACTTAGAATATTCATATAAACTAGCATGTCAAGATGGCAAAAAAAAAAAAAAACAACAGAAGAAGAAGTTTATGTATCTTTGTGGACTTAAATATTACATTAATATGCTTAGATAGGGGTTTTAGACAGTTTGTTGACTTTCCATATAATGTAATTGAATTCAGGTAAGAAGACAAATATGCTTGTCTGTATGGTATTAAAGCTTCGCATTTGAACAGATAATGGAGTTCATCTCCCACTGCATAAATCACACACGCGATATTCTCTGGGAACATTTGCCCAAAGACAAACCTCTACAGGTAGGTGTTGATTACCTTTTCGGAATCTTAAAATAGGGAAATAGATATGTTTTAGCAGAAAGAGATATCTCTCAAATTCTATATAGGTTTTTAAGATACGGTAAAAAGAGGATTTGGTGCTTTGTATCATTGAGGTATGCCATTTCCGTAGAAATTGGTCTTTGAGGATCTGTTCGATCTTTAAAGAGAGAAACTTAGTTGCACAGAGAAATGGATTGTAAAATATTTCAGTTAAACTGCAGTCATACAATGTCTTTCTTACATATTCAATCAACGGAAATACATTATTTTCAGCACTAACTTGCAACATGATAGAATAAATATTATGTGATAGTTTGGTTTGGCAGGGGTTTGTTATCACAAACTAAAGTTGTCATGAATTGGTTGCAATGACAAAATCACCATTGGCGGAAGGTAGAGGATGCTTTCACCTGAGCAGAGTGTATGCTTTGTTATTTTAACAGGAAAATCTTGCTAAGTTGATCACAGATTTATTCACGACCAAGCCCTATTCTTTTCTGTGACCTCGCCGACCAGTAGAACAGAAATGCGTTCCGCATAAGCCATTGTCATTGCCTATAGATGGTTGTGTTCGTGAGCATTGCAGAAGCAAACCGACAAACTTATTCTCTATTCTCGGATGTGTATATTTTATTTGGAATTCAATACTGCAACACTCAAATTTATGTTTTAAACGCTACGAACTGGAATTCATGATTATGTCATAATATTGTAAATGTTTGATTGGAATTAACATGATTGTACCAATTGCTTCTAATCACAAACTGATTTTCAGAGAAATGTAAAATGTTTATATGTACTTGTATATGAGAAATTGCAATAATCATGTCAAAAATATTAATCCTTTTTACATGAACATTTAGCATATGAAATGTCTCATTCTGTATTCAAAAATAGCTGAAACATTTGCACTTTAGGTAAAACAACAGTTATACGTACACATTAAAAAGTACTCAAACATAAGCATTAGTTTGTATATCATAGATTAGATGGCTTTAGTATACAGATTAAATATCAAATACTGAATCCGTGAAACCCACGTCAGATGGCAAGTTGAAGCAAATAAGCATAAGTGAAAATACAAGTAAGCCTATTCCTATATCAAATAGGACTCTTCGCATAGGCCGAACACAACTTTCCGTTCAGAAGATGATAAACAATCATGGACCTGCTGGGTGTCACTGACACAAGTGGTACATGGAACACTATTACGCGCCAGCTTAACTAAGTATGTCAAACTGACGGATATTTGGAGGTCTTTAGGCTTGGGGGCATTAACGCATGTGAGTGAATCTGGTAGTAGTTCAACAATGAATGTTAGTTTTTATGTGGGCAAATTCTGACTTTCAAAATACGCTACTGCATCTCGCACGAGAAGCTTTGTCTACCTATTAACATGACCAAGTATGTGTCTGTTTTATATGATCTGGATTGAAATATTCCAAGTGCTAAGAGTGGCTGTCTATTTGAAAGGCCATTTTGTGGTGTTTTTCTTATAATTATTTCAGTTCTGAAAATATCCCGATGTTAACACCTCCAAACATTACCCACGGAATTAGAACTCGACATTGTGCTTTCATGAAAATGTCTATTAAGTCACGCACTGAAATAACCCCGTCAGCAGTATCGGTCACAACTGACAGATAATTGTTGGTTTCTTGAATGTTTTTCTATTCCTGTGATGACTCAGAGGTGTTGTCGTGAACCACACGTCCAAACCATGTTGGTATGATCAGGGAGTCATTGTCAGACGAAGATATGCTGCTTAATGTAGAGTCATTTACAGTTAAGTCGCTCTCCCGTCGTACAAGTGGACTGTAAAAACGCTGACCCGCAGAGGGATCCAACTGTTCCTCGTAGATTTCATTGTAAGTGTTCCTACTGTACAGAGGTTGAACAGTGTCCACCGATCGCTGTGGATTTTCCCTCGCTCTCGTCGACAGTTTCTGCAGTCTAAAGTAAAATCATGCAATTACTTACAACTTACAAGGCCAGTGGAAGGAGCTGTAAATTGTAAGCTGTTTCCAATGAAAGGTTTTGTTGTATAAAGACATCTACAAAACAATAACAAAGGTTTATAAGTACTACAATTACACGGTATTTATACATATACATCTTACGTACCCTCAAACAAAAATATTTTTTCCTATAGTTGTGTGTCCTCAGTCATAATATTAGCCATGAGGACATATGAGGACATATCATTAATCCTCAGTCGTGCCATTTTACCAGGTTTCCTAATTATAGTTAGACGTGTATATCACGTCTCAATCTTGCCACTCTTACTCACGATCTTACTATCTTTCGATAGTGAAACTAAAACTCTGCTCAATTAGAGGAAATCACACTTGAAACTAACTTTCTTTTCCGTGATAAGACAGATTAAACCTTTTGACCTGAATTTTGAACTTTAAAAGGTATTATCACTTTCAAATGTAATGACAGATTAATTCTGGTTAGAGTATGAACTATTGCGCATTCGACTTGTGAAGATCCGGGCTAGAATTGATCTTCAGTAACCCATGCTTGTCGTAAGAGGCGACTAACGGGATCGGGTGGTCAGGCTTGCTGGCTTGGTTGACACATGTCATCGGTTCCCAATTGCGTAGATCGATGCTCATGCTTTTGATCACTGGATTGTCTGGTCCAGACACGATTATTAACAGACCGCCGCCATATAGCTGGAATATTGCTGAGTACGGCGTAAAACTACTCTCACTCACTCATCATTGCGCATTCCCTTCGATTGTCGTAAAAAAACTGAGATCGGGTACCGACTCAGTTCTGAAGTTGTGATATGCCTGAAACGTAGCTCTGTCTACTCCAGTAACCAAACACACACACAGACACATACACGCACACACGTACGCACACACACACGCACGCACACACACACACACATATACACACTCATGTTGTTTGCTAAAAACTATTTATGGAGACTCATTTGCTCTAAAAAAAGGCTACACTTAATTATATACAGTATATTATTGAAACAATTCCATGATAAGATTTAATTACGTGGTGTAAACTGACAAATAGTAAACAATACTGTATTGTTCTGCAAATATTTTATCACGGAACACAGTAATGAATATACTCCTTGAGTTACGTGTATGAAGATTATGATGATCCTGACATAATTGAACAATGTGTTAAAAAAATACATGGCTGCAAAGACGATATGCATGGCATGTTCTGCCTGATATTGCAAGTACCGTTTGTTGACAAAAATAGCACAATGCTTCTCGTTTGATAGTAAATTATAGCGAACAGCTATTGACATTAGAAGATGAAAACGACTTGTCATACAAATGATTTTTCCGCTAAGTACATAACTCACCTGACAACATATCTGATGGAAAATGACAACATTTTATGAATGTATCTTGATATTACATATATTGCACGGAAGTACATTTTGTATATCGCCTCCACTAAAGACCTATAGCAAAGTGAAATAGCTAATACCATATCCTCCTTTTCAGTATATATACTCAAGAATGACCTTCCCCTCAACATAACACATCGTCATTACTAGCACATTCAATACTATAAATATGTCCACTTTATACTATCGGTAACTTTGGTCAAAATTAGACAAAGCCTTCCAACATATCCATTTGTAGTGGGCTGCTTTAAAATGGTCTGTGAACAAAGGTACATATTACTTGCCTTTCAAATGTTAAAACACTACAAATCATGAGCATATTAGTGTCTCCATTACTAAGAAAACCCAGTTGTGACTTCAACTTACCTATGGCTAAGTATGCAGATCAGAATAGCAGCAGTGGCCCCGAAGATGATTAATCCGATTACAAGTGGGTTCGTGGCGGACTGGGCAGATGGAACCTTGGAAGATGTTGCATCTGAAACATTACCATAGTGGTGCAAATGACAATGAACTGCGGCCTTTTAAAAAGAAATAAGAAGTTTACTGATACCATGTTTTAATTTCTATTTCCTTAACTTTTCAAACCGAGTCTCTGTCTTACATGTACAGTGATTCATGTATGTATCCATCTGATCTGTTCTGTGGAGGATAACATCACATCATGCAGTTAATATACACAACCGATCAGTATGCATTGAACGATACGTACCAAAGGTTGTCATTTGTATAATATCAATACAGTGTCCATCGTTGCGTTCACAAAGGCCTGACTGGCAGTTAGTGCAGGTCTGTTTGCAGTCCACTCCATAGTACCCGTCCTTACATTCAAAGCAGAAACCAGTTTTCATCTCACAAACATCATCTTTACAATTGTAGCATCGCAGATGACACGTTTCCTTATAGTAACCATTAACACACTTCATGCAATGGCCTGTGGTTTGATTACATCTCATGTCTTGGCATCTGGAACTACAGCCGTCTGTGCATTGTTGACCTCTGAAGCCATCCTTACACCCATTCATACATCTGCCTGTGTGTTGATCGCATACAGGTGAACATTCTCCGGTTGCACTTGATTTAGACTGACAAAATGGAATACAATTTTCAGAACATGGAGTGTCACATTTGTCCCCATGAAACCCATTGATGCATCCTTCAGGGCAGCCTGAACTTGAACACTTTCCCAAACAGTTGGTACAGTCAGTTTCACAGTTGTCTCCAGTGTAATGGGTGTCACATTTCTGACATACCCCAGAAGTGAAGTTACACTGTTTACATCTAGGCAGACATTTGTCACCACACACGTGGCTATCCGAGCAGTGTTTCCTGCAGACACCATTCCTGTAACATCCTTCAGCACAGGAAATCGGACATTCATTCTCACAAAATTCACCTACATGACGTTTTTTACATTTCATACAATCATTTGCTCTTCGTTGGCTACATTTTAAACAGTTTGGTAAACATGGAATGTTGCATAGTTTCCCCGAAAATCCATCTTTGCAGCCATGTTCACAGACAATGATTCCACCAGTAGTCACTCTGCATGTTCCCATGAGGCAGTTATTACCTGGTGAACAAGCATGAGTTGAACTCGTCGAAGTCGTTGCACAAGCTGGTTCCCTACACGTTTCACTCATGTTTAAGACTGAAACAGGACAAATGGGACAATCAGTATGTTGTATTGCCCATGGTAATAAGTGTTTCACATAACAACAAATATATTTAGGCCTAAACTCGCATATTCATTTATAATGATATCGCCACTCAACACAAGCAATACATGCTTGTGGTTGAGTTCCAAAACAATACGCCCTATGGTCTTATCTCTCTTTAGATACGCAAAATATTTCAAAGATTGTTGTAAAACATTGATGACTATCTCTGTTGGTCTAGGCACTGATCAAGAAGATAGGTTAGGTGTGCATGTTCTCACCATGACAGGTAAATTCGCATGCTTAATTTGTCATGGATTCTGATAAATCAATATAGAATTTGGACGGATGCTAGTACGTATTGGGTCGAGATCATTCCCTTAACCAGTTTAGTGATTGATGTGTCACCATGTTAGCAAAAAGACTTACAGTTATTTTCAGAGTGCCAAACATTATTGTTTCCTGTGTATCCGTATTCATTATAATGCATTTGTAAAATTATACACATGATGTAGTTTCACATTCTCATTTATAAGAAGATACATACCCGTGTTGCAGATAACTGCGAGGGCAATACATCTCCATATCCCTGAAGAATACCTGAAATAGTAATATTGTGTATATATTATAACAACTCGTGATCAGATTGCTCTATATTCATACCCAGTTACACACCTGAAGCAGGGTATGAGTGCTTCTGTACAATATCAAAATAGTTGCACGGCTACTTTCCAGTGAGAAGTGAAATAACTGCTGAATATAACATTATTTCCACAATAACGGGACTAATTGAAAACACTTACATTCTATACATCTGCTCCTTGTTTTAGACGAAAACGATCTGATGTTAAACAGGAAATATTCTCTCAACCGTCAATTTCCTTACAAATCAAAACGGAAAGTGGATCCGTGTGTTTGTTCTTTGCTTGTTCTTCCCCTTCGACGCCGCCATATAGCTGGAATATTGCTGAGTGCGGCGTAACTCACTCATTCATTCATTCTTCCCCTTTGACGGTTTTGTGTTTGTTTCTAAAACGTATTGAAATTACTCAAGACAGGAGGCAAACAGGAGCAAACAGTTTTATATAAATGTTCACTGACCTAACAATTATTTTCACACAACAACTTATAAGAATACAAACTACTGACTATGTCAAATAAATATCCAGTTTCGAAACTCTCTAAACGACCTACTGTTCTAACTATCACCATGCTGATTGACTCTAAAATATGAGACATGTACATTTCTTGCCTTGCAAGATCTACTGTGCAAAGTGCCAACATGTGTATTGACGACAAGATATGAAGCGCACATTTCTTGCTCACAGATGCTGACATGGCACTTTCGAATCTACTGAATCGAAGAATGATAATCATTGGACTCTGTAAGTATTGTATCCTTTGGAAAAAGAGGCAACTAAGCTGACGCGTTAGCTCACCTGACAAAATGTTTTGTGAATTTATAACATAGACGGCTTCAGCGCCTTACAATAGTCACTTTCCACCCATCCTCATACTTAATTCAGAGTGATGTTACATAGGTTATGGGTATTTTAATGTTTTGGGTGCAGGTGAGGAAAAGCCAGGCTTGCTTTTTTGAAGGCTTCAACATTACAGTTAGGGCTGGATGGAAGGGAAAATAGCATGGCTGAGGGTCTGTGAGGCATTCTAGTTAACACGCTACTAATCACTCATTGCATGCACAGTTTTGCATTCAAAGAATATTCAATAGTATTTTACTCTTTTCTGACAATCTTATATGGCCCAAACGTGCACATATGCGAAAATATCTATACGTCCGTGTTCAATAATTGTTCGTTTTTGGATAAATACGAAAACATTTCATCAAGACATGTCACAAAATGGGACATAATTCTGTTGATTTAATAACTTGCATAAAATGCTGTATCTGTGACATTGTGACATATAATCGGAAGAAGGAATTATATGATATCGACACAGTATTCTACTGGATGAAGGAATAAACTGCCTAATGTTACTAAATCATATATAACAGCACAAACCTTTAAGAATAAATGACACTGCCCATATTAAATGGCTACTTGCCAGTGGTAAATTAACTGCATATGAACTGTTCTGGTTATGACTTTGAATGCCACACTTGTACAAGTAAAATACCAGAGTGTAGTAGAATGGTTTATTCTTGCTTTATCATGTACTTCTTTCATATTTCATGCTTAGGTGTCTTCATTGTTGGTGGTTCCGAGTACAATTGCCTGTCGTTGTCGCCGTCCTTGACGTGTGGGGAATGTTATATTGGCTGGTATGGTGATTACTGTGACAAGGCATGTGACTGAAACCCTGGTGGATGTAACAAAGTAACAGGTGTTTGTATCCAGTGTCAAGCTGGCTATTACTCCACAAACTGTTCACTGACATGTCCACCTCAGTGCGGAGAGAGCTACGGTGACAATGTCTTCTGTGACCGTACAACAGGAAACTGTCTAGAAGGCTGTAAACAGACATGGTGGGGGGATAAATGCGAACACAGGTGTGGAACACAGTGTAGTGATTCAATTTGTTTCTTCCATGATGGTTCTTGTGCCTTTGGTTGCGAACACGGGCTTACAGGGACCCACTGTAACAAATCCTGTTCAGTTGGATGTTTGGGCGGCAACTGTCGTCAGTGCAATGGATGTTCCGATGGGTGGCGGGGACAGGCCTGTGAGTTGCACTGCTCTGAAAACTGTCTAAGATGTCAACAGAAAAGTGGAAACTGCACAGCATGTCGCCAAGGGTTCGAGTATGATGGACGAAGTCAATGTACCGCTATGATCCATGGTAAATGAATTTATCAATGTAACATATCACATGCTCGTTATTAATAGTTCGACTGTCCATGAATACACAATGCCCTAAATAGTTAATGCTGTTTAAATAGTGGTCAAGTGTAACAATTGTTGTATTTGAATATATACTCTCCCAAAAAAGAAACGCATCATGAAAATAGCAATTTCATGTAGCAATGAATTAAAACGTGATTCATTTTACAAAAGGTTTTGCTCTGTTTATGAGTCCTATGGTGTTTATGTTTTGAAACATCACAACAAAACGCACTATCTGTAAAATACCCGTATTTAACAGCATGATTTTCAATTTCGGCGGGTAGTGTCACAGAATACACAAATTCACATGCAATGCACGTGAAAGTTGGGGATCAGATAATCTCAATGATGGGTATAAAAGGTTGATTGCTGTCTGTCGATTATTCAATGTATTTGGAATATTGTTGACGAACGCAAAATGCCACGTCTAAGTGAAGCCAACCGTCATGTCGCCATTGGTTTGCTTGAAGCTGGCCAGTCTCAACGTGCCTTTAGTTGCCCGACGCATGAATGTTCACCAAAGCACCATTTCACGGCTCTGGGAGACTTATCGCCGTCAGAATGCGGGGTAGCAGATGCCCCTCGTAGTGGGCGACCTCGAGCGACCACTGCGGCGCCGGATCGCTACATCCGGGCACATCACCTGCGTCATCGAACAGCTGAGGCGACCAGTACCACTCGACAAATACCCAGATTGAGGAGGCTTTCTGCACAGACCGTCAGGAACAGGTTGAGAGAGGCTGGTTTACGTGCCAGAAGACCTTATTTTGGCCCTGTGCTTCGACAACAACATCGTCGACATCGAGTTCAATGGTGCACCAACGTTCAGGCCTGGAACCTAACGAATTGGCGTAGAATGTGGTTCAGTGATGAATCACGATTTCTATTGGAACGACGCGATGGAAGAATGCGGGTGTACAGACGTCGACGTGAACGTTTCGCCGACGCTTGCGTTTCCCAGGTGGACAGATTCGGCCGGGACAGTGTTATGATGTGGGGAGCGATCACCTGCCGTAGGAGAAGTGATTTGGTGATGATCCAGGGCACCCTGACAGCTCAACGATACTGTGACGAAACCCTACGCCCACACCTCCTTCCACTCATTGATCGCCAGAGGGAGTTGTTTCAACAGGACAATACCAGGCCGCACACAGCACGTCACACTAGAGACTTCCTCCAGAACCACAACATCAATGTGCTCCCCTGGCCCTCAAGATCACCGGCCTTAAACCCGATTAAATATCTGTGGGATGCCCTGGTAAGACGGGTGCGACGCCGTAACCCTCACCCCTAGACACTTCAGCAACTCGCACAGGCACTACAGGCAGAGTGGGCTGCGATTGGGCAACACGAGATTCTGAGACTTATTCGTTCGATACCGAGGCGATGCCGTGCAGTTCTCGATGCCCACGGTGGTCACACGAGGTATTGACTTCAGCGCTACCACACGTCTCCATGTGACACTCAAACTGACTTTCCTCGAGTTGGTGCCAAAGACGGATAAGTCTGCATTCCCAGTGTGCAATTTCGCTATATTTCATTGACTCATAAAGCCTACAAGATGTTTCAAAATAAACTTAAAATACAGTTGAAATTCCTATATGCGTTTCTTTTTTTGGGAGAGTATATATTACACTTTCCCAGTAAAGTACAGTTTCCAAGTACCTTGAGAGTTGACTGTTCATGTGTTTAATTACTAAACACGAGTCACTAAATTTGATTATTGTGTTGGGATCTAGTATGTTTTTGTTTTGTTTTTTATTTCCTAGGTGTTTGAAAAATGAGACAAGGCATGAGTACCATGAAAGAATTATTTGATTAATGTTTGAAGGGTCAAACATATTCCTAATTGAATTAGGAATGACTCATACATTTTACATTTCTGCAGCGTGGGCTGCGTTTTACTTTCACTGAAAGTGCCTCAAGAATACATCACCCACGACGTGTATCTGGTCGTGAAAGAGAAGCATCATGTGTTTGGGGTTGTAGAACTATAAACTAATGTACTTGTAGAATAGAAGACAATCCTTTTTCGCAGACACTCAATTGAAATATATTCCCTAGAATGTTGCTCTTTCATGCAGTCACTACCAGCGAGGTCCCGATTCCAGAGCAAGATTCCAAAGTTGCTATTGTGGTTATTTCCATCATAGTTGCTCTCACCATAGTTGCAGCAGTCTTTATTGGGATCTATATCAGGTACGCTCATGATTATTTTGACCATGTATATTTCAGTAATCTCTAATGCCATAACGATAAAGTGTTTCAACATATTAAGCGTTAGATGCCTGGAAATATGCTTTGAAAGCAACAGGTGAGACAAGAAAGTATGTACATCGAATAAATAACTGTCTCTGCATTTAAAATAAAATCTACGATTGAATACTATGTATGTTCAGTGGGGGTATCTGAAGGATGCTCATAATTATACCTAATCAATCATCCTGACAGTTAAGAAATCGCTTCTTTCAGTTTTGAACCAGATGAGTACCCGTGAAGATCTGGGTTAGAATTGGTCTTCGGCAACCTATGCTTGCCGTGAAGGGTGGCCAGGCTCGTTTATATCGTTGACATCAGTCAATCAATTGTGTAGATCGATGCTCATGATGATCACTGGATCAACGAAAAAACCATGTCAGTAGCCATAATCAATAATCCATTTTTTCATTAGTTGTAGGAGACGAATGCATCCTCAGGAGACTTGCAGGGACAAGTGGTGCATAAATTGGTAAATTGCTAAATACTATCAGCCGCACACGCAAGAATATGTCTACTAGGGCTATACACAGTTTAGGGTTTAGGTTAACCATTTGTGCTCATTAACATAATCTATTCTAAACACAAGTTACTCATATTTAGACATTAGTCATCCTGACAGTTAATATATTGCTTCATTTAGTTTTGGTGACTAAAAAACGTATTTTAGTCTATGAGTATTGACGACAGGCCTAACTGTATTGATTTTTCCATCACAAGGGATAAATATTTCAGTGTTAAAACTGTTGGAGATCTTTTTACATAATGTTAATTATCATTTTATTATCGAACTTTTATAAGAAATTGAATTGATTGATAAATTTGAGTCCTGTGTTTTGTAGATGGATTTGTTTTTTAGAACTGCAAGTTTCAATCAGTTACTGAGATTGTTAGTGGCTGTATCCTCAAAAGGGGTTGATGTAGCGTAAACTTATTGTCCTGCTGAGAGAATACAGTCCCAAAACATTAAGAGTCAATTTAATCTCCCCACTCTTTTTAATCGTAGAATATGTGACATTTTAATGTATGGCTTGATTGCTCCGAATTGCTAACAGCTGAAGGGATGGTGTAAATCCAGCTAGGGTCCATGCAGGAAGCAAATGTACTGTAAGTCCCCATGGTCCCTAGTATGGTGATCTACCTTCAGTTGTTGGCAATCTATAGCCTGATTTTATATTGTATTGTTCTCTTTAAAATATCGTTTTATGATAGCATGCTAGTTTTACTTTAATAATATCTGTGATACACTGGTAGTTTTACTGTTCTTCGTCAACAGGCTTTTAATTTGATTTTTATTGTTCTACAATACAATAATTATTGTTCTCGTCACGATATGGCTGAAATATTGCCGATGTGACCATAAATATTAACTCACTCACTCTTGACGACAGGGCTATTGGCGTTATGTTTATTTCAGATATAGATCGCTCATTACAGTCAGTTGCTTAGTGAATGAAAAACCATGCCAGAAGCCAACTGTCAATAATCCTTTTACCGCCCTTATTTGTAGGAGAGGAATGGCTTGCTGGGGTAAGAGGATACATGGGTGAGTAAATTGCTAAATAGTTTCAGCAATAATATTCTAGTGATGTTGTATTAAATGTAGGTTTTTTATGATATACAAATATTCCATTTCAATGTCAAATTTGTTCTCATCACGATATGGCTGAAATATTGTCGATGTGACGTTAAATATTAACTCACTCACTCACTCACTCACTCACTATTAAATGTAGGCAAGTTGAAGAGCTCCCTGTAGAATAGGGTAATCCTTTTGTTAAATGTATTCCATTCATCAGCACATAGTGGGTATTTTGTAGGTTAACCACGTGTGGCTATTAACTTACTCGAAACAAGTTCTAACTGCAATGCAAACCATACGTTTAGTTAATATGCATCATCCCAGAAACATTTTAAATTTTATGCATACATTTATATTTTATGTAGCCAGACTCTTTATCATTGGCACGCACTAATTTCATGAGAACTGTGATTGAAGCGTTAGAGCAGGAAATGTTTAGATAGCATTACGTTTATGGCATCTGTTGTAATCACTAATTTCCCGTGATGTATTCATATAACGTTAGTCACTAGTTTCCCTTTTAGGCTATATAAAATTTCGAAATATTTCAGACTGATTTATTACTTACTTTGTAAGAAGCGATTTTATTGGATAAAGATTGGTTTCAAACGACGCTTTTTCACTACGCTCTGCTTATAAGGGTCGTGATTGGTCAAAATCAGACACGTGACTTAAGCAGCCAATCATATTATGGAAATGGATACCGTCCTCGTAAACGAACACCTTTAGATTAAGACGAAAGGTTTTGGGTAAAATAATGCTATTCTGAACATATTAAGAAAGACATCGCTACCTATACGTAAATTATGGAACGTATTGGACATATCGTGCTAGGTTATGGCCCATGACAAAAATGCTTCATGCATATATTTTCACATTAAGCATCGTGTCCAGGCGTCAAGACGGAGGCGGTGAAAGCAGAGATGTAACTTATCAGTGACTTGACTTACATTGCATGATCGCACAAAAGTATGGAAATAGTAATTTTATATGTACGTTTGACAACTTTCATGAATGTTATTGTTGATTTCAATTTATTTAATGAATTCCTCGATGTTTGAAACATCGTTACTTTGCTATTTGACAATGCTATTGTAGACCCGCTGCCGAAGCATAAACACGAATCGTTGTTTTCAATAACATTGCGAAAAATAGTTTATAATTTTAATTCTGCCAAAATATATATTCAGTTGAAATTTAATAAGAGATTTCAGACATTTTTATTTGATTTAAACAACATGAATGTGCATTCAGACACTGCCTTGTTTCTTATTCAAACATCTTGTTAATGCTAAAGTGACAGTACGACAGCGAACTTCCGTGTGCGCAGGCGTCATAAGCGAACCTAGCTAAACCGGCACTCTGTCAAAACCGGCATTTTTATTTGGTCCCGACTGATGCCGGTATTGACAGAGTACACTGTAGTCTGTTTTGCTTAAACCCGGCATAGCTTGTTAACTCCGGTTGTTTTCATTTTTTAGATCCCGTCACAATGCCTCGCAAGTTGGAGGAACAGCAAGACTTACAGATGTCCCTTGCAGTACAGAAGAATGATTCCAAATCCGCCATCTCTGTGCAAACATCCAAGTCCATACAGACCACAACATGTATTGCATCCAAACAATTTCGACCAGAAAGCATACCAGCCAAGGAAACTTCTAAAAGCCATCCACGTCAAAAGACTCCAACCTGTCATGAACAGAGATCGTGGTTATTACCTTCCAACACCTTCCAACACCTTTCACTACATACATGCATTATATATACTCTTCAAAAAAGTAGGGGAACTCCATTTTTAATTCACCATTGATAATAATGAATGTTTTGAGAGTGCATCACCACTTGCACTTCCTTATAACCATAGGGAAACTAGTTGGTTGTACACAAATCGCTCTTGAAAGATGATTGGTGTATGACGTCAAATTTGTATGTGTACGATTTACATTTTCAAACCATAAAAACGGTTAGAACAATCACTAACAACTGTGCGATGCAAGATGATTGTCGAAAGTTAATGGTCTACGGTCATTTATCGACCTTCTTGAAAACCGTCAAAATCAAGAATGACACCCCATGCACGTGTATGGGGCTACTGCGCTGTGCACGTGCATCCCATGCGTTCTGTTTAGGGGTGGTGATAAAGAAAAGTGAAGGTGCGTTCATAAGATGTCTGTCTTTGAAAAGTTTGTTAACGCTTATAATTCCTATTCAAATTGAAATCTCAGATATCCTACTTTTTTAAGAATATATATATTTTTAATCTTCCCACTTCTGTACATCACATGCTTCATAATCGCGTTAGTATCTACACGCATATTTCTCATTCGTTTACATGTAAGTTGCACAATCTGAGAACAATCCCCCTTCTTCATCACACCATCATGGCTTCAGTTGTGTGTAGCGTGAACTGTTCCTAGATTGGCGCCAAAACAACTTTTATTCCTCGATACGAAGAAAACCAAACAGATGGTGATAGTCAAAAAAGAATATACAGCAAATACCAATAACTGTTACAAAATAATACCAACAAATACTGCACCGTTTACGTAAACTGAGGTCCTTTATTGTTAGCAGTTTTATTCTTGTTTTGTTTTATTCAAAAACATCCGAGTCAGCATACATTGTCAATGCCTATAACTCTTTAAATCAATAGGCTTAAATGCTAAATGTGTTTGCCCCATGTACAACAATCTCATGCTATGGTATCTCATCACAGCATCTGATGTCATATTTATTGCCATAGACTTAAATCAGGAATAATCTGTATAGTTATGTTTTCGTTGAAAAAGTAATATATGAGTTCTAACTAACTAAACACTAAAGCTGTCCTGTCATGTTTGGTTCATGGATATCGTCAAAATGATCTTCAGCAATCACGTGTGCCATTCAATAAACACTTGCTCGTTCACATACACAGTCAGTGCCCTCCAGAAATTATCACTTACACATCTGATTGACTTTGTTTTGTGATATATGTGACTTCGTTGTATTTCTTGTTGTTATTTCTTTGGTTTTTTATTGTTTCCCTTATGTTATATCATGTATGATATATAATCTATTTGGCAGTCCCATCTATTTGGTGTGTCGAAGATTATACATATACTTCACTTTCCAAATAAGTTAAAGTGATGGGTCATGTAAAATGCAATTTCAATGCGCTGTAATTATACAAAATATGTTAATCAGCATTTACACAGTCCATTTTTCACATATGCTGTGAAGGATCGAGTTTCGGAGGATACATCCAGAATATTTTTCTGAAACAGGTTGCAAAACAGTATCATATCATAGTTCCAAAATACGTCCTATTTTCCTCTATCTTATATAAGTAAATGTGACTTTATAAAATAGGACTACACAACACATTGTGTGGGTATTACCAAATGATGTGAGTACTAAAAGCCTATCTCAACGTTATGTCCAATAGGGGGCGGTGGGGTAGTCTAGTGGTTAAAGCGTTGGCTTGTCACGCCGACGACCCGGGTTCGAATCCCCACATGGGTACAATGTGTGAAACCCATTTCTGGTGTCCCCCCGCTATGTCCAATAGTCAGCACTGTAGATTAGCAGTATCGTAGGTATTATTTAAATAAATGGCAGTTGAACGAGAGACCGTATCATAACTTCTGTGAGCATCGGTGTTATAAATGACAGCCTTTATTCAGGGTATATTCACTGATGAGAAAGACCTAGGCTTTATTCGGCGTTTCTCATCAGTGAATATACAAATAAGTTTAGGGTTTTGTGAAAAATAGACTGTGAAAATATTTACATTAGGACGTCATTAGATAATGATACGCTAAAAAGGGTTTGATACAACCGTTTTTAATGATGCCATTAACTAATGATGCATTAAGATTTAATTACGGTTTAATGTTGACATTAGCTAATGAAGCAATAAAACAACCGGATCCAGGGTTCGATTCTCCACATGGGTACAATCTGTGAAGACCATTTACCCGACCGTGATATTGCTGGAATATTGCTAAAAGCAATGTAAACTAAACTCACTCACTCATTCACTCTAGATATTGGAGAGCATGATTTGAGCACTGTCTGTGAACAAATGAACCCGTCATATCAGAGCAGTGGGAACAGGCTGGAGATAAGCTTCAAATCCAACCGTATCAAGCAAACCAAAGGGTTTATGATTAAATACATACGGTTGGATTTGAAGCTTATCTACAGCCTGTTCAAACTGAAATATACAGCCCTAATTATCTTTTCTCACATTTGGTCGGTGGTGTTTTCATTCGGCGAGTTTTCCCCTGTCGGTATATAGGCAGTGAGTTGCATTGCATTTATCCTCAGTCTTTGGATTGTGAGACGTAATACCGTTTGAATAACATTCAAAAACTACTCGATGTTGTGTACATTCTAAGCCATATCCTTTTTACCTGATAGAACTTATATTTAACTGTCGTTTCGTCAGAGCTATTGCTTCGACAATGTTATCCATGGAGGCGGCCATATTTAAGAATTGAATGTCACTTTGTGTGTTTGCACTGAAAAATGAACGATGTCAAAGCGTTGTTCAAACTCGTGTGAACGAGCGAGTTTACGATGATAATAAAATTATCAAACAGAAACAAATATCAATAACAATATCATTTAACAAACTGTCATTGTACCTATAAAAATATGACGATTCGTTTGACCGCGTAATAATACACTGACCGACTTCGAAGTTGTGCGGTGTGGCGAATAGGAAGCAGATTCCGTTGGTGTATTCTTTTTATTTGTGATTGTTTATTGTGAAACTTAATGAGCAGTTTTTAAACAGATCACGGGGCAAAACCCCCAAACCGCGAGAGATTAAACTCTTGTGAAAAGGAACAATGCTCGGCAATTGGAAATCCGTTTGGTCGTGAAGAAGTGACATTGCCAAAATTGGGGTGACTTGAAACAGGATCGCTCGCTAAACTGGCATCACCAAATGCAACAAGATCATTGGGGGGTACACAGTTCGTTGACAAAATTACTTTTGCAAATTCTGTATTTTAAGCGTCAAAAGACATTTCCACATTCATAATGAGTCCAGTGACGCTCTACATGTAATAATTTTGCACCAATATAATAAATTAATATGTTTTGCTTGTTGATTGTAAACAAATTACGTCATGAGTATTGTGACGTAGTTCTTGGTCAGTTGACAGTTGACAGTTCTAGACTGATTGTGGTGGATGCGAGTCGCTGTTTTTCCGTATATATTTTCACCGGTGTCTACCGAGAACACCACAATATTATGTAAGTATACTATATCCAAGCTTTGCTTGAGACAGAACTTACTTAACCAGAAGTTTGTTCTGGTTTGTATAATATTTGACATTACTGACTTTGATAAATTTATATGTAATAACTCTGGTTCATTGTTTCAACTTCATGTTGTCAAGTTATTTTCTAATTGGTAAAAACTGTAATTAACAGGGTAAAAGTGAGAGTGGTCCACAGAACCGACATGCTCCCTAAATGAAATTTATTTTTCTCATGACATTTTTATCGTCATTGACGTCATAGAAGAAAATCCATTTTTAACACATATTTTTTAGTCACTTTTAAGATTGAGTGTATAAAGTTATGTATATGCACACAAACTAATTTAATATATACTTATATCGTTCAGATATCAGACAGGGCTGGATATTGCCCTGATTCTCATATCGCGATATATTGCAATAATTTAAGAGATATTGCAATGCATATTGTGATATATTGCCTGGAATGTTTCTGTCCAAGTGTGTACATCATAAATTCATAATAGCTCTCTGTGTGCGACATCATCTTCTTAGTTACACCATACTTTCAGGCCCCCATCCCCATTGTGTATGGCTTTACGTCAATGGTTTACAGATAAATAAAGTAATATAGAGCCTTAGTGTAGCATGTTTAACTGAAGTACTGTATTGCAACAAAGTTTTGCGAACATAATGATCAAGGTAAGATGATTTTCATTGTCAGTGTGTGCACTTCCATGCAGTATGTAATTATTGTTACTGTATGTCAGTGATTCATTCAGATTCAACTCCAACATAAACATGTGTTAACATGAACTATTGAAAAATGAAACAAAAACATGATTTAGGTGAACTACTTGAGCTTAAAATCTCATGTGACCTTCAGTAACTAAGATCCTTGACTAGAATGTCATTATACAGTCCTACAAAATGTATAAGACTTTGGCCTGATGACATATGTCCCATTATGAATCAAACGAAAATAACAAAATAAAGTGAAATGGTTTCTCAGATCCAGAGGCTCTACTAATAGGTCCAAATAAAGATTTGTCAAATCTTAGAAGGGCATTTAAAAGTGGAATGCATAGTTGTCAACTTCTTTATTGCGAATAACACAACGTTTCGGAGTGTATGCTTGATCCTTCACAACAAGAAGTTGCAATTCATAACTCGTGCTTCTCTCAATAGATTGGTGCATTTGAGGTCACTTAATTCCTCCAAAATGTCTCATATTAAATCATTCAAACCCACAAAACTTAAAGCATTTGGTAGAAAATAAGGCACTTTTGGAGCAACTTATAAAGACACTTCCACTTGGAAAATGTTACATGAAACCAACTGAAATAAAAGTATATTTGGCACTTTTAGAGCACATTTTGTTGCCGTTGAGGGCAAGGGCAGATAATTCAAAGGGAGCTAACTCAGGATGACCCAATATATTGCAGAATCTGAACTATATCTAGCTAAGATACATAGCGTTCACTGACATGTCTTAGCTAAACTATATCGCGATAATCATATCGCGAGATACTGTACCGGTATATACCGGTTTACCGGTAATATTGCACAGCCCTATCAGACAGTATTTCCGTAAAAATGCCAAATTATAAATATAGTAGCACAGTACTTTTATCAGTGCACGATAAAATGCGGAAAGATTTATTGATTTTAACGCATAACAAAATTCGGGATAACATATAGCAGTGTCTATTTTTCAAACAGCCTAAATATTTGCACTTGAGTTTACACTATGGGACAGGCGATTTATTATTCTAAATTTCTGTTTAATGTTTTAGCTGTAGGTAGATCCAATGCTGCGCAAACGAAATTCTGACGCAACGTTCACTTTTCAAGGAAGTTGTAACGACGCTCTAATGATACCCCAAAACCTTCATAAAGTTAATGACGCGCTAATGACAACACGACGTCATTAAAACCTTAGCACAACAGAATTTAATGACAGATCACTTAATGAACGTTTAATGGCACGTTAATGCTTCATTAAAGTTTCATACAACCGGGTCCTGATCATTAATAAATTATTCTCTTTGTATTTTAAGAAAATTCATATTCACTTCATTCATTGTATGTTCTCAAATTATGTTCCTATGTTTCTGTTTTCCTTTTTTATCTATATTAGTGTGGAAATCAAACGTACGCAACAGTTTAAATTAGTAGTACTGATGAAGTACAGCAGTGAATTTGTAATTATATAATATATTATAGTGTACAAAAGGGTAATATACGTAATTACGTTTATACATTTATACGTTCAGCAAATCACAATTACATAAAATTGGTCTCGATTCTTGCGTTGTATATGTTATTGCATGTTTGCAATCAAAGTGAATGTCGAAGAATGTGGTTCTTTTCAAATATATACTGTTGGTGTTTAATTCAATAGATCCAAACTACCCTTGACGAAATTAGTGTTCAAACAGTGTACACATTTATTTGGCGAGGTAACTATACTATACACGCAAAACCGTTAGCGCACATAGCACTTGTTTTATTCAGCTGCTCATATATTGCTACGTTCACAGTATTCTCATCAATAATAAGCTTTATTTGTATATACGTTGCACTCATTAAATAACATGCCGCTTGGTATATGGTGTTTGGCAATTTACCGTAGTCTACATCTAAAAGAAATTGTCATATAATTCAACCTGCAGTTTAAATTTTATATTAATATTGGAAAGTGCATTCTTATTTTTCTGATTAAGTCATGTTGGTTAAACTAAAAAAATGTCTATCAGTTACATTCTTCATAAATATCAAAGATCATATAAGATTGGAGAGAATCACAGTCAAGCATGTCCTGCTTGGCTGTATTCATTTTTTCCATCCTGTTTCAAAGTTTCATCAATGAAGGATCTTTTTAATGTAAGTTTGCTTTTAATTATTGGGGTTTATTTAAAAGAAATTGATTTACTAACCTTACACAAATTTTGATTGATATGTTTCGTATAGAATGTTTATATGGTTTTGTGCTGTTGACATATTGTTTTATGGTTACATGGTAGTTTTAAGTTTACATATGTGATACTCTAGGCATTTAATTGTCCTTCGTTGACAGATATTTATATTGCCTGAGTTTATTTTTGATATTCAACATTCATAGTCACGATATGGCTGAAATACTGCCGATGTGACTTTAAATTGTAACTCACTCACTCACTCATATAAGATTGCTTTAATAACTGGTAACATATATGTTAATATAAGTGTGGTCTTATTATTCGTATTAAGTTGTATCCTTCTTAGTCGTAAATCCTATATCATTACGTTCTTCATAAATATACAAAATTATGTAAGATTATGTAGGTAATTTGTAGCACAGGTAGTAGGTTTCTTATTGAAGATTAAACATGTTTTCAATCCATTGTCCTCAGTTGCTCTGTATCAAAAGTATTTTTATTTTCAGCATAGTGTAAGGTGCTATCCAAGGTTGTAATTTTGCTGATGTTTTATTATGAAATGTAAAGACATGAGATCCATCGAATAAAGACTGGCCATTAATAGATGCTTCTCTTGGTTATTTTAACGCGTGAGTTCCCATGCTAATTCCCCGAAACACCATGGCCATTACATTCAGTGATATCTACAGCGTGTCTAATAGTCAATGACCTCTCACATTCTACTGATCTGAATCACACATAAATCGTGAATACTGTAGATCATGCAATCTGTGATATGCGATCACTCTAACCGCATTTTCAAAAGACACACATCGTAGTGTTAATATGCATGCGAAATAGAAACAGAAATACATTATAGAGGTTTGCTCGAAACCATTCAATTTGATCATTCAGAAAATGGTCACTCGGGAATTTTTCCATAATTAACCAGTGCTTCTTGGGAATCCTTTTTTGAAGAACCCACATTCGATAGCTACTTAACTTAGCGATAAATGAATGAGGTTTCTCGAGAGATATCTAATCTCCAAAGTCACATAAATGCCATAGATGTTATAGAAATAAGTTCTTGCCCGTAAAGTTAATTACCGGAAATAAAGTACAAACTAAACCACATTAACAAAATGATGTCACATAAAATTATCATATTAAAAAAATGATAAAACTTTCATGATTGGTTTGTAAACAGAACTATGGACACATGAATGATCGGATTCTTTACAGCATAATATGCATGATACTCAGAAAAGTTCCATCTCATGTCAGTAGACGTCCTGGTCGATCGTCATGGAAAATGTACAGTAGCATTTTGTAGCAGGCGTGGAGTCATCCCTATCAGTTTGCTGACGGGGTTAACCTCTTTGGTCATGAGGGGGCGGTGGGGTAGCCTAGTGGTTAAAGCGTTGGCTCGTCACGCCGAAGACCCGGGTTCGAATCCCCACATGGGTACAATGTGTGAAGCCCATTTCTGGTGTCCCCTCCCTTGATGTTGCTGGAATATTGCTAAAAGTGGCGTAAAACCAAATCAGTCAGTCAGTCAGTCTTTGGTCATGAGCATAAGGCGGATTGTTCGAATTCCAGTACGAGACTCGGGTATTTTATGGCCGCTACAAGTTGAAAGGGAGACTACTCGGTGATGAATTATAGTGTACACGTATGACCACAAGATCTATCAGACAAAATATACGAATAGAGAGGACATTGAATCCATTTTCAATTACATGTACATATTTGGAGATTAATTGATAAAATATATTTTACGGGGAAAACGGGTTGATCGAATATTGAACAAAAGTTATGGATAACAACTTTTTATTCCATGAGTGCGACGTATCGATACAGAATCTTGTACCATAGTCATTCCTGTTCGACAACGGTACAAGAATATGTATCGAAACGTCGCACCCACGGAATGAAGAACTTTTTGTTATCCATAAAGTTTGTTCAGCATGATACGTCCCAACTTCTAAAATGCCACTCAGACAAAGATTGATAGAAAAATTGTTCTAAACTCCCTCCACTGACATGTATCCGTGAAATGCTAATTAATGGATTATTGCAGTATTTAGCCTATGGATAGGCCACGACTTCTTTGTTGATATGTAATAACTGCCATTATATCCCCTGTTGTCCACACACCTGCCGCGGCTAGCTTTGATATTTCTCTCTTGAGTGAATGCTCTGTGTTGATATACCAAATTGTACGGATGCAGCCAATCAAAATCCACATCAAAATTTGCACTTACATTGGTAAGCCAAAATGACGACTCCTACTCACGTCGGTAACTTCAACCTTTCGGTATCCAATCTGTCAATAATAACCATGGAACATTGCTACATAGAATAATCCTGTAATTGTGCGTTTTGACATTTCCATCGGTGTACGTCTCCACGTTAACGTTTTTCCGGTGATATTTGAAACGGTAGGTGACAGATGAATTTAGATGAGCTTACGTCCATTACTTACCTAAGAACACCATGCACACAAATACACTTCACAAGTTTGGATTCTGCGGGAAAGTATTTATGATGTAATGTCATGAACAGTTATTGTAAGCAAATCAAAAGTTAACGGAAAAAGAAACGGAAATCAACAAAATACACGCACTTGATAAAGGGTATTAATATGGAGTATTACATTTTAAGAATCTAGGAGTTATTCCTTTTCCGCGTGCAAATAAAGTGATATTACTGGATGTTATTTGACAAATCAAACAGCCGTAAAATGTATGAGACCCGTGCTGGGTGGGCGAACCTTCTATTCGAAGTCGGACGCCTTGTCCACATGACCAAAGAGGGCGTCTGCCGTCAAGCTGACAAGGTAAGGATGTCGATGGAATTAAACCCACCAAATGACGTCAATTTCTAACTGATTATGTCTCATGTGGGCGAATTTTCAGAATTGTCGGTGCGGTTTAGTAGCCTAGTGGTTAAGTCGTTGACTCGTCACGCCGAAAACCCGGGTTGGATTTCCCACATGGGTACAATGTGTGAAGCCCATTTCTGGTGTTTCCTGCCGTGATATTGCTGGAATATTGCTAAAAGCGGCGTAAAACTAAACTCAGAACTCAGAACACTTTTCAACACGCACACTGTTATCTGTGAACATGTTGTATTGCTTGACTTTAGGTTAGATGTAGTGGTTTCAAATTCGTCACTATCGTACATGTTTGATATATTGCTAAATGCGGCTGAGTAAATAAACAACAGTTCAGTTTCATCCTTCAGTTGTAATTTCAATCTCTGTTTTTATCCATTTAATGTCACTACATTTTGTTTATGATCGTTTGATGTGAAAGCCTGGGTATAAAAAGACAATAGCTTGTGTGGGAACATTTGGGCTACACATCAACAAAGTACAATACAGAATGTATTGTTATAAGCCATGGTACATGTTCAGCGGGAATATGGAGTAGCAAGCTCTTACATTTAGGAATCAAGGAGTTATCCCGCTTTTCCACGTGCAAGTGCTGTCATATTTCCACTGCGAGGTTACCGCCGGGTGTTATTTGGCAAGATTGAGGTTGCTGTTGCTGTAGTTATAGCGCAATGTTCCTCACAGGCGATGGTTTGTTAGTGTAATTGTTTTGTAATAACCATAGATCAGTGTTTTACTTCACTCGGAAAGCCGGGGCCCCTTCACATCATGTATAGTATTGAAATATATCGATATGTATTGAGTTTACCCGCGTACACAAAGCCACCTATTCAGACTGCCGTCATTGATGTGTAAGAATATACGCGGACGTCAGAGGAAACAGCTGTTAACGAAAGTATGGATAAACGATCTCCCTGAAGTACACCTTCCCGCAAGATTGCACACACCACGATGAGGTGGCTTTTCTTGTTGGTTTGTGTGTTAACATTAACTGTCCTTGCTTACGGAAACACGTCAACAGACACAGGTAAGCATTCTACAAACTACACCTGGGATCTAAGCTATTGGGTGGATCAGTTTTATCAATGCTATTGTAATTAAGTGATAACAAAAATCTACGATGTGTGCGCCCATTATTCACCTCACACCATCCCGTAGTTGTTGTTATTTATCAAATGTCTAATATTTCTTAGTTAATGTCTGATATTCTTTTGTATCTTGATAGTATTACCTGGACATTTTCATTTCGTAAAAGATCGCGTACGGCTTCTATTATTGTGTGATTTCGTCTGTCTGTGTAGCTGTAGCTGTTAAATAACAGGGGCGGTGGGGTAGCCTAGTGGTGAAAGCGTTGGCTCGTCACGCCAAAGACCCTGGTTCGAATCCCCACATGGGTACAATGTGTGAAGACCATTTCAGGTGTCCCCCCGCCGTGATGTTGCTGAAGTATTGCTAAAAGCGGCGTAAAACTAAACTCAGTCAGTCAGTCAGTTAAATAACAATGCTATTAAAACAAAAACTGTTCGTTGAAAATTATATTGTTCACGGTTAACGCTTTCAGTCACATTAATCTTGAAATAATGAAATTCCAATCCCTCACATATTCGCATAATATATACAGAACTACTTCACCTGTATTGATTGATCATAATCAAATTTCAATGTTCACTTCAGTACGGTGTTATATTTCTTAGCCCAGGACGTCTCTATTCGAAGTACGTAAACAACAGCTGGATTGAATGACTTATTAAGCTCTCGCGAAAACAAACAAGCTTATAAAGATTCCAATTCATTTATTTGGCTATAAATTCCCATTTAAAATCTAATCTGAAATTTGTTTTGATAATTGCTGTAACTGTTTACAGCCGTTCTCAAATGATCAGTTCTGTTTGATAGTCTATAGGGTGTTTATAACAACCTACTTATATGGACTAAGTTAAAGGCCACATTATAATGGGACGATCTTAGACCTTGTATTTACATAAAGTCGCAAGTAAATCTTACCTTTTATCGCCATGTGTGGTAACTTTGGGGCAGCTGAAGTATATGTCTTTAAATATTTTCTCCTGTTACAGCATTAAAATATGGTCTAAACGGGTACTGTATTAAGACTTAACAAATTAATTTGCCAGTTTGTGCAGTGCCTATTCGTGAGGATGTTTGCGTTCTAATGAAGTAAAGCTAACAGCTAAGCTAAGAGATGTTAAGATGTGTTCAAGCAATAAAATACCGTATTATTCCTTGCCCTGCAGTGTCTGCAGTATGTGGACAAGTTCTCTTGAGGAATAGTATATTATCATGCGTTAAATGTGAATACATAATATGCGACAACACCATTATACATTTGATTGTAACATTTATTCTGTTCACATCAGGTTGTCCTGAAGGCAAAAAAGAAGGCGATATATGGACAACCCATGGCGAAACGGAATGTGAGACATGCAGGTGTGAAGAAGCCCTCACGGTCTGCAAAGAGTAAGGTCATACATGTATATCAATGATCATCATTAAGATCCCAGCGATGGCTATAAGCTGGTTTTCCTATTACGTCAACGACGCGATCTCGTTTAGTCTTCACAGTAACAAACGAACCATCCCGTTTAGTCTTCACAGGAACAAACGAACCATCCCGTCTAGTCTTCACAGTAACAAATGGACCACCCCGTTTAGTCTTCACAGTAACAAACGAACCACCCCGTTAGTCTTCACAGTAACAAACGAACCACCCCGTTAGTCTTCACAGTAACAAACGAACCACCCCGTTTAGTCTTCACAGTAACAAACGAACCACCCCGTTTAGTCTTCACAGTAACAAACGAACGATCCCGCTTAGTCTTCATGGATACATTCGAACTGACATAGACGCGATCATGTTAAGTGTCCAAAGTAACAAACGACCTGACATAGACGCAATCATGTTAAGTATCCAAAGTAACAAACGACCTGACATAGACGCGATCATGTTAAGTGTCCAAAGTAACAAACGACCTGACATAGACGCGATCATGTCAAGTATCCAAAGTAACAAACGACCTGACATAGACGCGATCATGTTAAGTATCCAAAGTAACAAACGACCTGACATAGACGCGATCCACGAGAGGAACCACGGAAAGGAATACTGTGTACGGGGATAAGGAGTGAACCATGGACGGGTACACTGTGTACAGGGATAAGGAGTGAACCATGGACGGGTATACTGTGTACGGGGATAAGGAGTGAACCATGGACGGGTGTACTGTGTACGGGGGTAGGCAGTGAACCATGGACGGGTATACTGTGTACGGGGATAAGGAGTGAACCATGGACGGGTATACTGTGTACGGGGATAAGGAGTGAACCATGGTCGAGTATACTGTGTACGGGGATAGGGAGTGAACAATGGACGGGTGTACTGTGAACGGGGATAAGGAGTGAACCATGGACGGGTGTACTGTGTACGGGGATAAGGAGTGAACCATGGACGGGTATACTGTGTACGGGGATAAGGAGTGAACCATGGACGGGTGTACTGTGTACGGGGATAAGGTAGTGAACCATGGACGGGTATACTGTGTACGGGGTAGGTAGTGAACCATGGACGGGTATACTGTGTACGGGGGTAGGTAGTGAACCATGGACGGGTATACTGTGTACGGGGATAGGGAGTGAACCATGGACGGGTGTACTGTGTACGGGGATAAGAGTGAAGTGAACCATGGACGGGTGTACTGTGTACGGGGATAAGGAGTGAACCATGGACGGGTGTACATGGAAGGATATGTGTGACTATGGAGGGTAGAACCATGGAGGGAGGGTAGGAAGTGAACCATGGAAGGGGGTGTACTGTGTTAACCATGGAAAGGGTATGCTGTGTACAGGGGTAAGGAGTGAACCATGGACGGGTGTACTGTGTACGGGGATAGGGAGGTGAACCATGGAAGGGTATACTGTGTACGGGGATAGGGGAGTGAACCATGGAAGGGTGTACTGTGTACAGGGATAAGGAGTGAACCATGGAGGGTGTACTGTGTACGGGGTTAAGGAGTGAACCATGGACGGGTGTACTGTGTACAGGGGTAGGAGTGAACCATGGAGGGTGTACTGTGTGCGGGTGTAGGGAGTGAACCATGGACGGGTATACTGTGTACAGGGGTAGGGAGTGAACCATGGAAGGGTGTACTGTGTGCGGTAGTAGGGAATACTCCATGGAAGGGTGTACTGTGTACGGGGGTAGGGAGTGAACCTCTGAAGGGTGTGTTGTGTACGATGGTGTACTGTGTACAGGGGGTAGGGAGTGAACCATGGAAGGGTGTACTGTGTACGGGGGTAGGGAGTGAACCTCTGAAGGGTGTACTGTCTGCGGGGGTAGGGAGTTCTCCATGGAAGGGTGTACTGTGTACGGGGGTAGGGAGTGAACCTCTGAAGGGTGTACTGTGTACGATGGGGGAGGGGAACCATTTACAGGGGTATACTCCATGGAAGGGTGTGTGTGTGTACGGGGTAGGAGTGAACCGCTGAAGGGTGTACTGTGGACGGGAGTAGGGAGTTCTCCATGGAAGGGTGTACTGTGTAGGGGGGAGGGAGTGAAGGGAGTTCTCCATGGAAGGGTGTACTGTGTACGGGGTAGGGAGTGAACCTCGGAAGGGTGTACTGTCTGCGGGGGTAGGGAGTTCTCCATGGAAGGGTGTACTGTGTGCGGGGGTAGGGAGTGAACCTCTGAAGGGTGTACTGTCTGCGGGGGTAGGGAGTTCTCCATGGAAGGGTGTACTGTGTACGGGGGTAGGGAGTGAACCTCTGAAGGGTGTACTGTCTCCATACAGGGTGGTGGTAGGGAGTGAACCTCTGAAGGGTGTACTGTGTGCGGGGATAGGGGAGTTCTCCATGGGAAGGGTGTACTGTGTACAGGGGTAGGGTGTGAACCATGGCAGGGGTAGTATACTGGGCACAGGGGTAGGGAGTGAACCATGGAAGGGTGTACTGTGTACAGGGGTAGGAAGTGAACCTCTGAAGGGTGTACTGTGTACGGGGGTAGGGAGTTGAACCATGGAAGGGTGTACTGTGTACGGGGGTAGGAAGTGAACCTCTGAAGGGTGAACTGTGTACAGGGGTAGGGAGTTCTCCATGGAAGGGTGTGAACCTCTGAAGGGTGTGTTGTGTACGATGGGGGAGGGGTGTTTACAGGGGAGGGAGTTCTCCATGGAAGGGGGTGTGTTGTGTACAGGGTAGGGGGTGAAGGGTGTACTGGTAGGGAGTTCTCCATGGAAGGGTGTGTTGTGTACAGGGGTAGGGAGTGAACCTCTGAAGGGTGTACTGTCTGCGGGAGTAGGGAATTCTCCATGGAAGGGTGTACTGTGTACGGGGATAGGGAGTTCTCCATGGAAGGGTGTACTATCTGAAGGGTGTCTGCGGGGGTAGGGAGTTCTCCACAGAAAGGTGTGCTGTGTACGGGGGATAGGAGGTGAACCACAAAAGGGTGTACTGTAGTGTAGTGTGTACAATGGCTGGGAGTGAACCACCTAAGGTTGTTCTTTGTTCGGAGGCTGGGACTGCTCCGCTTTGTCGTCATCAAGACTATGACACTGGATCAGGTAAACCAGCGATCGATAGCACGATCATCACCGGGCCTAATAAACGGCAATCACTGGGTACCGGAAACATGTTCGTTCCAGTTCGCTATATGTAGGTTTACATCCATCTTAATCTGTTACATTTTAACAAAGCCGCATTGTTGTTGTATAAAAATCTGCAGACATTATGAAACCTAAATGGGTATTAAAGGTTCAAGAATACAACACGTATGCTTTCAATGATGAGGAACAAATAGACTCTTATCCAATGTATTATTTGTTCTTCGGATTATTTTATTATACTTCAGTTTGAGAACTGCAAAGATGGTCCTGCTTACCAACAAATTCAAATGACTTAAAGGGAGAGGTTGTCCCATCTGTTCCACGGTTATGAAAACAAACGAGTCAAACTGCATAAACCCTGAAAATACTTGCCTTTCATTGTCTGCATTATAGATCACGACCTGGATCTGTCAGATGTATTGTTTCACTTGCATGTGTATATGACGGATGCCCCCGGTGGAGCAGGATACGCTCACCTTTTCGCGAAGACCTGTTATCATTACTTGTATATAATGAATCATAAACACTTGTCCATGATGTAGTCGGAAAAGAAAATCGACCCTGCTTTTGACAGAGATTTCTTGTGGATCTGGGAATGTTTTGTATTTATAATTGTTTTTAATTTCTGTTTTGTCACGGCCGAAACCTCTCAAACAAATCAAACCGAATGTCTTTCTATTCCTGTATTTCTCAACAGTTGTCTGGAAATGCTAGACCCCTACAGTTTGATCCCAGGGTGCTACCTCAAGGAGACCCAAGTCAAAGATGGCGAATACCCCTCGTGCTGTAAGATGGACCGAAACATCTGTCCCGACGACAAGGACTTCAAGCAGTCTGAACTGGAGGCGTTTCAGAGCCAGCAGATGGTAGACATTGCCCAACAGGAGGAAGAAGAAGTAGACGGTGACTTGCTGGGGACAATGCAGCGTGACTTGTAATTGAAACCTTCAAGAAAAGTTAACTTGATTGAATTCATGTATTGATTTTTATAGAAGTGAATATTAAAACGCAGTGGCAATGTACTCTTGTTATTTGATCTTGATCTTGATCATGTGCATCCACTAATATTACTACAAACAAGATCCTTTATAGGATTTGTTCTCCGCTTTCTCCGATCTTACTCTGACAATACGAGTAAGTGAATCAGATAGTCAGATTCGATGACAAGGTTGATGAATGTCATATCTCGGACGCTGTTGAGAAACTTATATCATAACATTTTAGGTTTGAAATTTCGAAGATATTTAAATATCTTAATTTCCCATTTACAATGCGTGTCACTGATATTTGTATACGTATAATTAACATCAACATTTCCCCCGCAAGCACATTACCTAAACATCAACAAACCACTGTGGTGTATGGTCCTCTTTGGTTTTCATCGGAACAATAACATCTTCATCTATTGCTGGTCTGGAAAGGATTAGACACATTGAAATGGATGACAACTAGGCAACCAAAGCGACTCCTCATAGATTCATGCTCTACTGGGAGACGGCCTTTTCTGTAGACAAACTGAAGTCCGGACAGATCTCTAAATGAATGTGTATAGAGTTTGGACAAACAATCGTACTGGAGTTTACAGCTAATATCACATTTATACGATTTCGTACAAAGTAAGAAGGCACAATTTTCAAATGTCTTCCGCTTTAATGCCATACCCTGTCCCCGGCCTGGTACACTTTGCTGCTAGAAGGATGATGTAAGTCCCCATGGCCCCTAGTACAGTGATCTCCATTTATAAGTTTGAAATTATGAATAATGATCTATTTACTAATTGACACACTGATAAGTTATCAATCATAAAAATACCAATATCCCTAACTTATTTTGTCCAGCATAGTTGCTGGCGATCTATAGCCCGGTGTTATATTGTATTGTTCAATATGACGGTATATTTGTTTCTGGTTACATGCTAGTTTTAAATAACATCTGTGACATTATAGTTATTTCACAATCCTTTGATGACTGGATTTATAAAAATTGAATTCATTATGTATGCAGAATATTTCTGGTCACTGAAATATCACCGATGTGACACTAAATTTAACCTCACTCACTCACTGGAATACTTTGAGGTCCTTCTGGAAGAGAGTTTGAATAGCTTGTATACAGTTAAAGCAAGCACTCACTCACAGAAAGCTGGTGTGCGTTTTTCGACATGCTTCTCTTTCGATTTTGTCAACGTTAAGTTGACAAGGGCCGGTAAGGTAGCCTAGTGGTTCAAGTGTTCGCTCGTCAAACCGATTTCCAAAAAATGGGTAAAATGTGTCAATCCCAGTTCTGGTATCTCCCCGCCTTGATATTGCTCGAATATTGCTAAAAGCGGCGGAAACATATACTCATTCACCCACTATGTGTAAATCTCACAACTAAATATAAAGTGTGGCAGAAGGTATATCACACATGCATCATGTCATTCAGAATTCAGAATCATTGTACCGATATCGTGAAGTCAGCATGACACACTCCGAGTGACGAGCTCTATATATGTACATTAATGCATGTCAATCTACCATCCGATATACATTCATTGTCAGGTAGGAATTATGTGCATAGAACGGCGAGTCGGCGATGAACAGCGGTGAAACATTGTAAGGCATGCACTACATAGCACACTGTACAAGCAACATGGCCTTGAAGCGTACAGCAAAGTTTTAGTGTTAACGTTCATTGGATCATTGATGTATCCGAGACTCCCCTCCGAGAAGATGAATTAATATTTCCATATGGACATACACCCTCACTTCTACCAGTTACAGTTACAGCTCACTTCACCGTGTCCTAAATGTTGTGCATAAACAAGCTCGACTATGGCTACTTGGGAAAATTGGTAGGTCAAGGGTCACGTGTTCTCCACGATTTCACCTAACAGACGAGGTGAAGGATACCGAGACTGACACTTGTGCCTCCTAACAGCTGATCATATCATCTCAAGTTTCACCATCGTTGCAGTGGGAGATATACTATAGGTAGGTGTTGTAAGGTGACATTCTGCAAAACGTTGAAACTGCACAGTGTTCGACGTTTGATTGGCATTTTAGAAGATGATATTTGATGAACATAGGGATTTTTTTTCTGGGTTACATCTTCTATGGTAGAGTTGCTGTTCAATATTCTTACTGCTTCATCTCCCATGTAGATGGCGAATTAGATGCTTGATTGGCATTTTAGAAGATGATATTTGATGAAGATGTAACCCAGAAAAAATCTCTATGTTCATGTACAGTGTTCGTTGTATATAATTGTTGACGATTTCGTTAGGTTAAGGGTTGTGTCTACTGGGGGAGAAAGTATATTATATTTTAGGAAAATGTATATTTAATCATATATCTAAATTTCCTTGCTATTACAAATTAGTTCATGCCTGGAGCTTGTAGATTCACGATTTTCTAGCACACATTGTCAGGAACTCAATAGGGTCAGTACTATAGATGTCGCAGTAAATGTTCATCAAATATTCCACAACTGTTGATCAGCGCATCGATCGGTACATTCCCTGAAGTGACACAATACTGAAACCTATTTCTGTTTACAACATTATAACTGCTATTATGTGTACCTATATATTCAGGGAGTCTATATATTGGGGATGGACCCCCCATGTGTGTCCCTTGCGATGAGGTTTTCACCATCAAGCATATTCTGCTTGAATGCGTGGACTTATCGTCTGCAAGGGACTAACATTATGATGCAACAAGTCTGAAAGATCTGTTCTCCTGCGTGAGCGCTCATCTCATAGTGAACTACCTTAGGGAAGTTGATCTGTATCATAAACTGTAATTGTGAAATGTGACTATCATAAATTGTAACTGTGAAATGTCACTAACAAATTGCCTACCTTTAAATTTGGTGCTATGACTTTTTCTGCTTTTAAATGACAACGTAATGAATATATGTTTTGGAAATAAAACTCATTCCGAGTATGTACTTACAATGTTTATTTATGCAAACTTGTTCTCGTCACTATATGGCTGGAATAATGCCGATGTGACGCAAAACCCATCTCAACAACTCAACACGGAGTCTATACGTGGTTACATCTTGTGCAGAAAAGAATGTCATTTGAATAATATTTTCATTATTTTAACATAAACGGTATTTGTTTTTAAATTTAATACAGTAGTATTACATGGTTTTAGATGATCGTGTTTAGACATAGCAAGTTTTCATTTTTCAGGTAAAATACCTTTATAACGAACTCCAAGGAACCACTGAAATTAGTTCGTTATATCCGTAGTTCGCTATTCACTTTTTTAAATGATAATACTACTATAAGGTTTAATCGGGACTTTTAAAACAGTTCGCTATAGCCGTCAGTTCGTTATATGTAATTGTTTGAATACATTGGCTAGTACACGTCAATATAGAACAAACTTTGTGGATAAAAACTTCTTTTTATTCGTGAGTGCGACGTTTCGATACAGATTCTTGTGAACATGAAGAAGGGGGAAGTATATATATACTGGATGCAACAATGTAACAAAGAAAACAACATAATTAACATAATTGGCTAGGCAGAAAGCTGATGAAGCCAGAGAGTAGACAAAGGACAGGCGTGGAAGCCAATGCTGTACAAATAATAATTAGATGTTTATACAGCAGAGTTTATACAGTAGATTGGGCTTGGTGAATGAGTGCATCTTCATGTTCCATTATGCTTGACAACGGTACAAGAATCTGTATCGAAACGTCGCACTCACGAATAAAAAGAAGTTGTTATCCATAAAGTTTGTTCTATATTGTACTTCCCAACTTCTGAAATGCCACTCAAAGAAGTTAGTACACGTCAAACATGTATGGAATGCACGAAATGCATGACTGGTGTATAAACTCGATAACATTGTCATTGATAACGTTTTACAATACACAGAACGCTGTAACATGTTACACCGGCAACAGCCCAGCCATACTGCAAAGACATTACTAAATACATATATGACACGGCAAAACAATTATATCTTCAGTGCAACGAACGTCAATGACAAACTGTCAATTTGACTCTAAAGAATGTTAATTACACCGTGACGATTGTCTATTTCAAGTTATTAAAGGCCACGATGTATCATGCTGACTCAGCAAGTGTTCCACCTAAACACAGGATCAGTGTCGCTATCAGAGCGGGGATAATCTATTGCCTGTAACTTATGTTTAGTCCCCAATCAACTGTGTTCCTCTCTGATCGAGAATGTACAATCAAGGACATTGGAAGTCAATTTTCGTATGTCAGCATTTATGATCCTCTGAGTCATACGATACAATCATGCTTGACTGCATCAAACAATGCAAGTCGGTTTCACACGCTCTGTATCAGATATCTTTTGTGCAATCGAATGAAGAAATATCGTTTATGAGCATGTAATTGCTTTCTATTTCCGTCATATATATACATCCGTGCCTGAAATATGTACACCATTTACTCAGATACCTTTTATATACGCATATTGTATTGAGTATTGAAGTGTTTGTCAAGGCATGTGATACTGACAATTAAACGTATCTTAAACAATCTCTATCGTCTATGCTCAAAGCATCTCTTTGATAATAGTGTCTGCACTTTAATGCCACCAGTTACTGGTAAACACAGGTTCGACTTCAGTTAAAGTTTTTATATATATATTTCGTCGTATCTTATAGAATCTTTTACAATAGTATAGCATCTTAGTATAGTATCTCATTAATGTGTGCATCTTTCCATGAGGTACCATACAAGCGAAGGCAGCCGTTTTTCTAAGCTTGCCGGAAGTTTATTCTTTCGTTTGTTCGTTACAAGCATCGATTCATGTAATTCGGGTTCCATGGACACAATCAGGGACTGAGCAAATGGGTTTAGTTTTACGCCGCACTCTGGAAGATGTAAGCTATGTGGCAGAGGTCTGTAAATAATAGAGTCTGGACCAGACAATCCAGTCATCCACAGCATGAGCATCGATCTACGCAATTGGTAACGGATGACAATCAACTAAGTCATTCAGCTTGACCACATTGGTTACCTCTCATGACCAGCCTATGATGCAATGGT